GTTTAGGGTGTAGGGTTGTTTAGGGGTTGTTTAGGGTTGTTTAGGGTTTAGGGTTGTTTAGGGTTGTTTAGGGTTGCTTAGGGTGTAGGGTTGTTTAGGGGTTGTTTAGGGTTGTTTAGGGTTTAGGGTGTAGGGTTGTTTAGGGTTGTTTAGGGTTGTTTAGGGTGTAGGGTTGTTTAGGGGTTGTTTAGGGTTGTTTAGGGTTTAGGGTGTAGGGTTGTTTAGGGTTGTTTAGGGTTGTTTAGGGTTTAGGGTTTAGGGTTGTTTAGGGTTGTTTAGGATTTAGGGTCTAGGGTTGTTTAAGGTTTAGGGTTCGGGGTTTAGGGTTGTTTAGGGTTTAGGGTCGTTTAGGGCTTAATGTTAGAAGAGAGGCTTTGGTATGAATGGCAATCATTCCAAAAACCATTAGGGTCATTCTTGGTAATCATTTCAACCCTCATGGTAATTTGAGGCTGCCAAAAAAAGCTTCTATGGCGGTTCTGCAAGGGCTCCTTCGCCAAATCTAGGGGCCTGAGTATTTGGGGCTCCCCAGTAGGCTTGCAGTACAAACCCCTGTAGAACCACTAGGCTACTTGTTCAGACACCTAAACCCCTGCAAAACCCGGAGTCCCCCCGCTATAGAACTCCAGAGTACAGGGGTGGGTGGCTGGTACGTCTAAACCCTCAATGTAGCCTTACTGCAACACTGCTCGATCCGGAGCTGTCCGCTTATGACAGTCTTTGGAGGAGAGGTGGACACATACACATCGGAGCTGTATCCTGTGCAGAACTTGTCGCCAGATGGTGCCTTGGCCCCCAAACCCTAAATCCGAAGCCGTTCAGGAAGTTTTTCGTTTATTGTTTGTTGTAGTTTGTGTCGGATTTCGGGTCGCGAAACCCTAAGCCGAAGCTATGTTTGACCGCTGCAGTGTGGCAGTGCGGTAGAGTCTGGTATGCAATAGCTGGCGTTGCCCGGCCATTGGTCTATCGTCTTTCCTCCGAAAAGCGTCTCTGCATTCACGCAACGTCTATGCATGTGCACACATTCGTTCAACTATGTGCTTCTTTTGCAATGATGAGTTTCGTAAGGCTTACGGTTGTATTGCCCTGTATTGGAGGGCATTCTGTTACATGACGTTGTCGTATCTTCCTTTGGTTATGGTTTGTGTTTATTTTCTGAGGAGTTGCATGTTTAATGCTTAAGGGTTTAGGGTTTAGGGAGTTTAATCTTTCTAGGCGACTGAAGGTACAAGAGCCTGCTGGTTGCACACGAGAATGCAGCACTGGCCGATCCCTTGGTGGTTGCCGTGCTTGCCACATCTCCTTTTGGGGCTAGGCTTGTTGCTTTTTTTGCTGTGTTTCTTTAGCCTCCGACCTGTCTTTAGTATTCTATTGATTATTCCATGTGTTTGTTTGTGAGTCTATCGTCCGTTATTTGCCGAACCCGCGGCAACACATAGCATGATAATTACAATTCGTGCCTGCCGAGTATACTCGTTTACTCGTATCAGTGTCATTCGTCGGTATGCAGGCGTCTTCTGCCTTTTTTCTTTCGGCTGTTGCATCAGTCTCTACTGTGGTTTTTGCATTGGTCCAGGTATGTTCCTGGAATCCGTGAAGAGCATCCCCATGTTATGGTTCACCCCCACCGCGTGGGCAGGGAAAGTGCTGCCGCACATGCAGCTCTTCACAATTCCCAGATGAGCAACACGAGGAAATGCTTAGTTACACGCGGCCCTCGAAATGCTGTGCCCAAGAGAAGTGCTAAGGGTAAAGCTAAGGCAAAATTACGGCACTCATCACATCAACACCATCAGCGCTGGTGGAGAGTTTCGCTATGCTGCGATTGTGGAGGCTTCGTACATATCTGCGCATGGAAGCGCCGAGATGGATGCAGAGGCGGATGCTGATTTCCTCTTCTTCTTCTCCGCCGATGCCGAGGCAACGGTGATTACAATTGCAGGTGCTGTAGTTGTTCTTGACGATGCTTGAAGCACACATTGCCTTGTCCTTTTTTAACCATGATAACATCTTGAGAGCTATGTCAAGGACTAGCAGTAGTGTTTAACTTCATGCATGCTATGCTACTTTTGGTCATAACTGCTCATGGTCATTGCCAATCATTATGCGCTGCGAACAAAGTATCTTCGTTGGATTTTCTATTTGCGCAGGATGCTCGGGGTTCAGTATGTTAGAAAAGAAAAACCCCAAACCCTAAGCCCTAAACCCTAAAGCCCTCAACCTATAAGAAACCTCGTTCCCGGAGGCCCATGCATCGGCCAGCGCAAGCGAGGCTTTCCGCCAGTCGCTCTCCCTGAGGCTGGGCTTTTGGTGACTTTTGGGGTTTAGGGTTTCGAGTTTAGAGTTTAGGGCTTAGGGTTTATAGGGATTAGGGTGTTTAGGGTTTAGGGTTTCGAGTTTAGGGTTTCGAGTTTAGAGTTTAGGGCTTAAACCCTAAACCTCAAGGGCTTGTCTCAAAGGTTCGATATTTGCTTAAAGGTTTCTCTTGGGGCTTTCGAGGAGAGGCCACTTGACTTCGGCTTCGAAGCTTCAGGCGTTGAGGAAAATGGGGTTTAGGGTTTAGGTTGGTTACTGCCAGGAGTTAGTGGTTAGGAAGAGGGAACAGGATATGAAAGTGTGGAGCATGGGATTATGGAGTTTGAATCTAGGGTCTCAGCTGCTAGATAGGGTTTATTGTGCGGGTTTTCGTGAGGCAGGTGGTTTGCAACGGTGGGAACGGCAAGTGCAACGCAAATTCCACAGCTACGTATGATGCCTGGGTGGATTCTGTCCACAAGTACCCCTGGGTGCTGAGCGCGCGCTACACTCCGAACTATGCTCTCGTCCCTACCACAGAGAACGGCATCGTTCTTGAAGCGGTGACCATCGCATATCTGGCTTGGCAGGGCGTCCAGAAGCTGATGGAGGAGCTGACTGCGATTAGGGCAGTCCTCAAGATGTACGCAGGATTGGCAGACCCTCTCTGCAGCTTTCAGAAACGTGGTAGCCCAGCAGGTAATGGTTTTTGTAAAGAAGCCGATGTGTTTTTCGAGCCTTGAGTTCACCTAGACCTTAATCCCTAGCTTAAGCCCAAGTGTTGGCATTCATTTCTCCGGAAGCTAACCCTAAACCCTAAACGCCCTAAACTTAAACCCTAAACCCTAAACCCGCTAAAGATGTAAGGAAGATTGGCACGTGCAGCAGTGGCTCAACGTCGTGCACTCAAGCGGGAAGCACCGGAGATCCCGCGAAATTGATTCCCATCGTTCGGGCGAATGCCCAGAAGCTGTACAATCAGACAGATCCGCTCCACGCTCAGTTTCAGACGACGCTGGGGGCCAGGAATTCCTCTATGCAGGCGGGCTTGATGCTCCTGAATTGTTGTTGTTGTTGTTCTTGTTCTTGTTCTTCTTCTTCTTCTCGGACATGTCTTATCAGTTTCACCGAGTGTCTGCTAAGTCCAGCGCCCGCTATACGCAGAGCACGGTCGCGCAGCGTTCAATTGAAAAAAAATTCTTCTTCTTCTTCTTCAGCATCATCAGCATCCTCATCATCACTGTGGTCCTCGTCGTTGTTGCTGTTGCAGCACCACCAGACCAGCACCACGACCACCAAAGATAATCACGCAAACCACGAATACCACGACCACCACGACCACCACGACGACCACGACCACCACGACCACCACGACCAGCACGACACTACCACGACCACCACGACCAGCACGACCAGCACGACCAGCGCGACCAGCACGACCAGCACGACCAGCACGACCAGTACGACCATCACGACCACGACCAACACGATGATCACAACCGCCACGACCAAAAGAGATTCACCACGACGGCAAGTGCACTGTCATTACTGGCAACGGCAGTGCCGGCAATGAACTTGCTAGTTTCTGGCATACAATGAAGGGAACAGTAGTAGCACTAGTTCTAAATCAAGGCCAGTAGTCGTTGTAGCGGTATGGATAGTACAAACTGTCAGAACGTTTGAGAGAACTATGTCTGCCTTGTCACATGGTGAGTAAGTGCCATCATCTTCATGATCATCAACATCCTCGAGATGCCTGTTCGTGTCTGTCAGCACTGGTTGTCGTCTGAGAACGTAGCCCTCTCTGTGTTCACGATGGTGATGACGATGATGATGATGATGATGATGGTGATGGTGATGATGGTGAACGTGAACATGATGATGGTGATGAAGATGATAATGGTGAAGGTGAACATGATGATGGTCATCGTGATTGTGGTAATGATGGCGATCGTGATAGTGGTGGTGATGATGGTGATGGTGAGGACGACGACGACGACGATTGTATGGATGATGATGATGATGATGATCATGATGAGGATGGCGGTGGTGATGATGAAATAATAACGTGGTGATGATGATGTGATGATGATGTTGGTGTTGATGATGTTGATGATGGCAGTTATGATGACCGTGCGGTTAAATGCAACACACACACACACCGATAGAACAAGAACACGATCGAGCTGGCTTCAGGTGGATGGCTGGCTTCCCAATGCGACGTCCTGGGTCCAAGCTGTCAAGGACATGGCGGCTGTCGTCTTTTCCATGCCCACTGTCCTGCAGTGCACTGGCTATGCAGATATGTCTACCGATCCAATCTGCCAACTCTTTGGATGCAAAGACCATGTCTGCCAGACTGCTCCAGGGGTCAAGTGCGGTGATTGCGAGGCCAAGATTGAAAAAAACCACTAGATAACGACTAAACCGAGATGAACCCAAACCCGAAACCCCGTAAGCATTGCCAGGCGAAGGTTGCTGCCTCTTGCGCCTGGGCGTCGGTGCCGATTCCTAGAAAGCTCCTGTCCCCATTGTTCGACAGGCCAATCTACATATGAGGAAAAGGCCGGAGGCGTGAAACTGGGTAGAGTTTTGGCTTGCTTTCTGTTCTCAAATATGTTGCGAAGGCGCCGAGAGGGAGACTGAACAGTTACGCTTGGAAAGAAGTGCGGCAGAAAGCAAGAGACCATAGAAGTCCTTGCTGCTTGGGCAAGGGATCAGATCTGTAGCCCGCTGGCCGCACAGGCCCCTCACTTGGAGGTTTATTGGTAGTTGTTGGCGAGGCGGGAGGGATGTAGCAAGTTACCAAAGCAGGGCCAGGTTTCTGTCTTATGTGTATGTGCACGTGCCTTTGAACCTCCAAGTAAAGTTTCATGTGGGCATGCAGAATGAAGAAGAGTCTGTTGCAGATGCGGGGTTTCGCGCGCCGCATCCCCTTAGAAAGACATCTGTTCTGACCGATCAGGTTTCGGGACTTAGGATCTGTTCAGGATTTTTGGATCAAGAGGTTGTTCTTCCCGTACGCCCGAAGCCGTAAAGGCCTAAAACGCCGCGAGCGGGCAGTTGGATTAGCTTTCAACGAAGCCGGAAGTGCTATGCAGGGCCTTGAAACTTACCAACACCTTTTTCTTCGGGTTTAGGGTTTTGTCTAGGACATTTTCAGGTGGGTAGTTACCGCTATAGGAGACTTATAGAAGGTCTATATACCTTATAGAAGCCTTGTATACCCTAAACTCCCCACCTGTAGTTTCCTTTAATTTTGGGTTTAGGGTTTAGGGTTACATCATTTCTTTGGGGTTCCTTAACAACGGCACGGTAGAAGACAATCCCAAAACCTTCTTCCAAGTAATCAGGCACTTATATCATTCCCGCGAAGATATGTGCAAGGAATTCAGACGGCTACAGCAGGAATAGTACACCAAGTCCAACATCACCACCTTTGGCGACATTATCCTTATCATCGATACCATTGTAACTACTCGTCGTATCAATGCTCTCATAGTCATCATGGTCATATCCATCATCATCACAATCATCGCCATGATCATCATCGTGACAATCGGAGTCATCATCATCGTGGTCGTCATCCTTATCGACATCCTTGTCCTCGTCTTCGTCCTCATCCTCCTCATCCTCATCACCATCATCATCATCACCATCATCATCGTCATCACCATCACCATCACCATCACCACCAACAGCACAACCATCGTCATCGCAGGGCACCACATGTTCGCAATGAATGCCCAGCCTTCTTTGTCATGCTCTCTTTAGGATTTGAGTCCTTTTCCGAGGACAACTCATTACAACTAATGTTTTCTTCTACCATCGTCTTATCTTGGGTAGAGCCGCTGATGAGTGCTTGAAGAATAGGGGACCTTGCTGATTGGGCTACAAGATGTTACAAGCATGGTACGTACAGTTGCGAGTATTTGTGAGCCCAAGTAGGGAACTTATAACCATACTGACTAAGCCCTGCGATCGCGCAAGGAGTATAATCCAATATTAGTCCTCTTTATTACAACATTACTAGAACATACCCCCCAACTAGTCTGTTGTGATTTTTCTTGCCAGGCCTAGATCCTGCATGTGGATGGACACCACCCATCCCCCTCCCCACGACGGTCTGTCATGGGTGAGCAGTTTGGTCATACACTAAAGGCATCTATATCATAGAAAGCAATCCCGAACTCAGCTTGTCAGATATCTGCATGGTAAACGAAAGCTCCTCCGTCGGACTTTCTTGATGGCCTTATTGTGTACCATGTCCCTTAATTTTAAAGCTAAGCCCCGGAGTTCCCGAAGCCCGAAACTCCTTCTGCCCTATGCTCTGAAGAGCTCTGAGCCCCTCAGTGCCGAGCTCGCAGGTGGGCGCTATGCGGCAAGCTAAGGCGCGGACCGCCTTGTGGAAGCCTGTGGCACTCACCCAGAGACTGCAAAACCACGGAAATAAAGGAATGCCCTATTCCCGAAACCCGAAGCCGCCGCTGACCGTTTGCATGGGGAGAGTTTGCGTTGGCGCTCGAGGCTCCGACCGAGGCCCCGGGCCGAGAGTCTCGAGAGAGGACGGTAAGTAAAGCCTCCCGGCAAACGGGGACGGAAATGATCCGGGTAGGCCTCACGCCCTGCCGTCGTCGCACGGTATGATGAGAACCGAGGCGGCGACCTGGCCCCAACTTTTCGTTCTGCGCCTGTCTTTTCAGGGGCCTTCTCAGAATTTTCCAAAATCGCCTGCTTTTCATGGGTTTTTCCAGGATACCAATTTCTGACAGTTTCTGGGGCCAAAAACTTCGGGGAATATAGAAACGAACGCTATTGGTGGGGCCGGGTGCCGATGTCGGGGCACCACCCGTTCTCCATCCCGGATGGTTGCCGCCCGCCAATTTGCAAGGCCGAACTTCGCAGGGCGTAGATATTTGATATTTACACTTCGAGCGACCGCCACAGGGCGCGAGGGGCGATGTGTTTGTTGGAAACCCTTGCTTCTCGTGCGGCCGGCACAGGCCACGAGGACAACAACCCGACATCTAGTCCATCTCAGCTGTGATTTGCAATGAATCGTGATCGTTTCTGTGTCGAACTGCGAAGGGAAGCAAAAAGCAGGAAACCCCCTTGTTGATGCGGGTTTGGCAGGTGGCGGGTGAGCCCTACAGCTTGATTGAGAATAGATGGGCCGCTTGGGGCGGGACTACATGCTGACGCAAGCGCACACGATCAGTGGGTGCACTCCATTCCGGCACAACACTGGTTGCACACCTTACACATTCTGGGAGGGATCTTCTGATGAGGCACATGGATAGTTTTCTAAATTAGCGTCCCTTTTTAAGTCCCCAAAAAAGTACCACACCCGTATAAGAAGGACACCAAAAGGGACCCTTTTTTAGAAAACTATCCACATGTATTATGTAGAGGGGCTTGGAGTCTGATGTACCGTATATTCTTCAAGTGAAGGGTTTGGGGGTGTTGTTTCGGAATGTCGTCGTGTGAACCGACTACATTGGCTCACAAACACAGAGTCATGCTCGAAAATCAGGACAGAAGTCTGATGTCAGCACATGAGGCGTGTCCTAAACTTCAGTTTTTTTTGCAACTTGGTTACAACACCCCCTTCAACAGCTTGAATCTCAAATCCTGAGCTCGAAGTTCCCGAAATCCTTGACTTGACATCTCCTGAGCTGTTAATGCCCAACAGCCGCTGCCGGTAGCCCAGCACCCACCGTTTGGCATATCTATATTTCCGTGTAGGATCGATGATCCTCCGTTTCCTTTTGCTCACCCTTGCAGTTGGACTCCGCTTGAACAACGACCCGGTGCGGCCGTGGGAAGAGCACCCAGCGAGCACGGCCGAGGAGCTTCAGGAGCTCCTGACAAGCATGATTGTGGAGGCCGGCACCGTTCAGGTCCCTCGCAAGGCCGGCGGTGCAGAAGCGCAGGAGGTGGAGCTCAGAAAGGTGGTTGCCGACATGCGAAAGCCCAAAGATCTGCTTGCCAACATGATCTACACGATCTGGCAGAGTAGCAGCACGAAGCGGTGCCATCAGCAGCTCGAGCAGGTGATGGGCAACCTTACGCTTACCTGCGAAGGGTTGCAGCCAAAAGCCGACTGGCTTCTCGACTACTATGCTTCTCCCCTCCCGAACAAGACCTGCACCCAAAGTGTCAGCGACATCTTTGCTTCGGGAGATGAGCTCGTCTCGATCCTCCAAGTCTCCAGACGTGCAGTGGCTTCCTTGAAGGTGTCCGACGAGACGCTCCGTCGGTATCAGGCGCTCTCCTTTTTGAGGAACTGGCTGGTGAACCTCACCCGCACTCATCATGATGCACTGGTTTGGGCCGGCTTCTGGGATGGGGATCCGCAGAAGCGCACGACGAAGGGGAAGCTTTCCAACTTTGCCAAGTCAGTAGAGCATGCGACGATGCACCCAGATAGCTTCCTCGGCCAAGTCATCGAGGGGAGCCAGAACCTCGACGCTTGCTACGAGGATGCCCAGACCATTGCACTTGCAGGAAACATGTGGTCCATCGCGAGCATGAGCTTCGTGCTCGGGATGCGCGAGAAAGCGCAAGGAACCGTCATCGCTCTGGTCAACAAGAAGATCACGGGGGAGCGCAACTTGTCCCAGTCCGTGCTTTCCACCCATGAAATCCCCACAGTGGGGCTCGCAGCCTGGGGGCTCGGGTTCTGGTCTCCGAAAGTGAACGTCGTGGACCTCATGGGCACGTGCAGCCAGACGAGCCCTGCTCTGCAGAAGCAACTTTTTGCACGCTTGCCCAC